TACAGTTTCTTCTAAATATATTTGTTGTTAACTTTTGTAGCTTTCTCTGCTTGTATGTTCTCTCTCATTTCTGTTTGTATTTTATTCCTTTAAACTTTTTCTTATCATTGACTAATATGATTCAATTCCACTGTAATTATTCAGGAGATAATGAGGATGAAGATAAAAAACAATTAAAGTCCTTTGTTAATGAAATTTTGATTATCTCCTAGAAAGCGAAGATACATGCAGAGGAGTCATCATCTAAATTGACAATAAAGAGATATTGTAAGATTGTTTGAAAAAATTATTCCTTATATACTTGCACTTGAATGTTGATAGCATGTAGTTAATTAGTTTAACTACTTATCTAAGTGTTTACATAGACTTGAGAGTTTTTTGAGAGTTTTTTGATAAGAAAATTTATGGCAGATCATTAGTTGGTTTAGCTGGATGTCCATTCAGTTTGAATTTTGAAGAGGGACTAACTTGGTGGCAGTCTTTATTTTTGCACCTCAATTTTGGCACATGACCCATGACTTTCAAATATTGATTTTTTACATGGGTGGGCAAAAGAGGTCACTGACCCTTTTCATTTTCATGCTATTTCTCAGAGAGAGTTCAAAGTTGCTTTTAATATTAAATCATCCCACTATCACGTGACCAATGAGGAGAATATTTTTATAGAATACATAATCTTTGCTCAGATGCATGCAAGTTTGATCAAGAACCATTAATTGTCAGTTTCAAATTATTTTTTTTTCATTTTTGTTTTTCTGAAAGTACTGGCTCCTCACTAAGAGTACTTATAAAATATAAACTTTAGTGTTGATTTTAGAAGTTTATTTCATCTACACCAACCTTGTATTCAGAGAGATATGTTTCTTCTCTTGCAATATGTACAAAATGTTATCAGCCTTTCCTGAAAAAAAAAAAAATTATTTATCACTACAATATTTAAACTTATAAATAACATTATTAGTTGATATTTAAATTATTTCCTTAATGATATACAATATACCTCTTAAACAGTAATAAAAGATTTCAAAACCATGACATCTGCAAATATTTTGAAGATATACTTTAGTCTATGAACTAGAATTGAGCCACATTATCCAGTAATCAGCATCTTGATAGTATTGAAGAAAGAATTTAACAAATTGGAAGAATGACTGTTGCATTAGAAAAGAATTTTGTCAAGCTATCTAGTACAATATTGGAAAATGTTTATTTAATTATAACCTGTTAAAATTTAAGCAACACACATTGAGCCTTGTTTTGTGTTCATTTTGAAATATTGGATTTTTTATGCTGTTTTTAACATTAAAATATAAAAAATAATAATTCTAACTGAACACCTGAACTTAAATGTTAATACATTATTAAGTTCATTTTTTTAAAACTTGGTAGAGAAGAATATAAAATTTATAAGTTAAAAATGCCATGATCTTGTAATCAAAATTTTTAACAATTTTATAAAACTTATTTTCAATACAGATATTAAAGTTTTAAATTTTCTATAACATTTTCCATTTTAAGAAATGAATGTGTTTTTTTTTTATATAACAAAAAGAAAGGGTTATTGCTGTTTAATGATATACATTGTTTTTTATATATATATATATATATATATTTTATATTTTTGCAGGATACCAAAAGTCATAATCAACAGCTGAAAAACTACTACCATGGATATGGGAAGTCATTATTAAAAAGTATGAATTGTAATTAACTGAATATTTCCATTCTACAAACATTTAAATATCTTAAAATGTTTTCAGTATTTATATATTATTTTGTCTGTAAAAAACATTGTGAAAATTTTTCTCAGTGAATATTGTGATTATTTTTTTTTTAATCATTTAATCATATTTTTTTCTTAATCATTTACATATTTTTTTTTTCTTAATCATTTACATATTTACATATTTTTTTTAATCATTTACATATTTACATATTTTTTGATAATCATTTACATATTTACATATTTTTTCTTAATCATTTACATATTTATATATTTTTCTTAATCATTTACATATTTATATATTTTTTCTTAATCATTTACATATTTATATATTTTTTCTTAATCATTTACATATTTACATATTTTTTCTTAATCATTTACATATTTACATATTTTTCTTAATCATTTACATATTTACATATTTTTTTCTTAATCATTTACATATTTACATATTTTTCTTAATCATTTACATATTTACATATTTTTTTTCTTAATCATTTACATATTTACATATTTTTTTTTTCTTAATCATTTACATATTTACATATTTTTTCTTAATCATTTACATATTTACATATTTTTCTTAATCATTTACATATTTACATATTTTTTGATTAATCATTTACATATTTACATATTTTTTTCTTAATCATTTACATATTTACATATTTTTCTTAATCATTTACATATTTACATATTTTTTCTTAATCATTTACATATTTACATATTTTTTCTTAATCATTTACATATTTACATATTTTTTCTTAATCATTTACATATTTACATATTTTTTCTTAATCATTTACATATTTACATATTTTTTCTTAATCATTTACATATTTACATGTGTGTTTGTAGGATGTATAACAGTATCTGAAACAAAAGGGAAGATAATCCATTTTCTTTCATTATGTTCTCAATATACATTTAATTTCATAGATATTCTGAAGTTTATGTTCTCTTTGTAATTTTCTGTAAAGTATATTTTACTATTTTTTCTACATTTTTTTTTAGCATCTTGTATGAATATAAATTATGAACAATTTTTTTTTAATTTTTCAATTGTAATGTTCATTTTGTATTATAATTTATTATAATAAACACTTATTATTAGTTATATTAGAAGTTCATTTTGTGCTATAATTTATTTAAGAATCTTTTTTTGCTTTCATTTATGAATGCATGCATGCTATATCATTACCAAAAATATCTTCCAAGCCTCTTGCTGCTCTATTGCTATTTCTATGGAGATTGTCGAGATGAACTACACTCCTTAGTTCCACCAGTCCTGATTAATCTGTTCAAGTGTAGGATTAACCATTATCTTCCACAGACAACTGTATATATAAGCTGTCCCTCTTACTGTGTAACCCACTACCTTGAGTGGCCTTAGGGCTTTGTACAGAGTAAAAAAAACTGTAAAACAAACAAAAAAAAAACAGTATTGTAATCCTTTGTATCTTTTGTGCAGTAAGTTAGTTTTAGTTGGTTCTCTGACTATATCAACATATGTAATGTTTATAGTTGTATGTTTTTGCATTGTTTTATTTTACTCTCAGTAACATTTTCCTGTACATAATGTTTTATAGCTATTATCATTTCATAATCACCATTCAAATATCAATGAGGCTTCATTCTTTGAATAATTTTAAATCTCGATTGCCCAGACCTCAAATGAAACGCATGTATATGATCCATTGTTAAAGATGCTGGAAAATGATCAGCTCCTATCATCCCAAAAAATGTGATGACTCTTGCCATGCTTTATATTTGCAAAAGTCAGATTAGATTGCTACCATATTTGGACTGGAATTTTTTTTTTTTTTTTAATAGCCTGCAAGGGGTTACAGAGAGCAAGAGTAAAGAGATGTGATTGAGGAAAGGATAAAGAGAAAGATGGGGAATTAGATCAAGGCATTAGAAGATGTTGATTGACATTACATTTGAATATTTGAAGACTAAAACTGTCAGAGAAGCAAGCAAGAGGAAGGGAGTTCCACAGACTGGAAGTGCGAGACATGAAGCTATTGGAGTAGAAGAGACGGCTACATTTAACCGTTTTGACAGTGAAAGGGTGGGACTGAAATACCAATCTAGTAACGCACATAAATTCATGCAGTTTGGGAATCAGTGAAAATAGCTTGTCTCAGCAGTTACTGTGAAAGTACTTGTAGAAAAGACAGAGGGAAGTGATGGCACATCTATGAGAAAGTGACTGTAGGTGAGATACCAGACTAGGACCAACCACAAAGCATATGAGTCTCTGGATTTTGTTGAGGACCTTGAGACAAGCAGCAGGGTCTCCAGACCATATATGGCAGCAGTATTCCATGCAAGGGTGAATGGTTGATTTATAAATTTGAAGGATGGACTCTGGCGACAAAACTTTCTGGTGTGACACAGAGAACCAACTTTCCTTGCAGTAGATGAAGCAATTGATTCAATGTATTTGTTCCATCTCAGCTCAGTGGACAGTGTGAGACCAAGCAGGCACAGAGAGGTGCCCTCATGGATAGATTTCAAAATCATTTTGAAAGATTTATTTTCCACTCTACTACCTTTTCCTCCACAAAAGCAACAATGCAAACCTATCTATACTCTCATTATTTTCATGGCAGATGTTCAGGCAAGCTCCATTCTTTAGTTATCCTGGTTCCTCTTTTACAGATAGGACATACTGTGCCATACTACTTTTACAGGATTGAATCACCCTCATTTTCCCCATGTTCCAAAAAATAAGAAGAAAGTTCCACTCAGCTTTTTCCCAGGAACAGCCACTTCATGAAACAGACTCCTACATGAGTGCTTCCATGAAGACTTCAATCTTAGCATTTTCAAATCATGGGTCAGTTGGTATCTATCTTCGTTATCCTTATAATCCTCACATCCTACCAAATTCTCTTTCATTCTTATCACACATCTCATTCATCATTACAATTTTGACTGTTACTCTTTATCTTAAGTAACTCTCTTGCCTTTTATTAGCTAAAATTAAAAGAAGAAAAATAAAGCAAAATCAAATGTAAAACAAAGGATATATATGACTTGGCTGAGAAATCAGAATGTTAATAGCATATAGTTAAAAATGTCATGGAATAAGCCACAATAGATAGTACAAAAATATGTAAAATGCCTATATTTTTTAAAGTGGAAATAAAAACCTTGTTAATGAAAAATTATTCACTTTCTTGTTGAAAATATAAAAGTGATCCTCAAATTTGTTCTAATTTGAGGACATGCTTAATATTTGATAAGATTATTATAGTAAAATAAGTATATGAACTGTTTTTTTTTTTCCTTTTTTCTTTTTTTCTTTTTTTTTTTTTTTCCTTTTTTTTTTTTCTTTTTCCTTTTTCTTTTTCCTTTTTTTTTTTTCTTTTTTCATTTTTCATCTTTTCTTTTTTTTTTTTTTTTCTTTTTTTTTCATCATCTTTTTCATCTTTTTCTTTTTCATCTTTTTTCATCTTTTCTTTTTCATCTTTTTTCATCTTTTCTTTTTCATCTTTTTTCATCTTTTCTTTTTCATCTTTTTTCATCTTTTCTTTTTCATCTTTTTTCATCTTTTCTTTTTCATCTTTTTTCATCTTTTTTTTTCCGTCTTTTTTTTCTTTTCTTTTCATCTTTTTTCATCTTTTCTTTTCATCTTTTTCATCTTTTCTTTTTCATCTTTTTCATCTTTTTTTTTTCATCTTTTTCATCTTTTCTTTTTTTTTTTTTCATTTTTTTTTTTTTTTCTTTTTCATCTTTTTCATTTTTCTTTTTCATTTTTTCATCTTTTCATCTTTTCATCTTTTTCATCTTTTTCATTTTCATTTTTCATCTTTTTCATTTTTTTCATTTTTCATTTTTTAATTTCATTTTTTTCATTTTTCTTTTTCATTTTTTTTTTCTTTTCATTTTTTTTTTTTCTTTTCATCTTTTTTTTTTCTTTTCATTTTTTCTTTTCTTTTTCATTTTTTTTCATTTTTTTTTTCATCTTTTTTTTTTTCTCTTGTAAAAAGAAATTCTAATATCCATACACTGTTGGAACTAGAAACATATATCTATCTTATTTCTTTTCTTTATTTATGAGAGTGGCTTCGTTTGTATGGGAATAAAAAAAAAATCCAAAAAACTATCTTTTCTTCTTTCAAGGATGTGATTTAGGATGTGATGGTTGTACTGGAAAGGGACCAGAAAATTGTATTCGTTGTGCAGATGGTTATCGTCCTGTGGATGGCAAATGCATTGGTAAGTTTATCTTATTTGGACAAAGTGTACCATGATATGTAAATAATTTATTTGCATCTCTTAGTTGTTTTTCATTTTTCTTGTTTTCATGTTTTGTCTTTTACAGATATTGATGAATGTGCAGAAAACAAGGATGACTGTGACAATGAACACATGTCTTGTGTAAACAAAGAAGGTGGTTATAAATGTATATGTGATGAAGGATATGAAAAGAATGAAGTTGATGCCTGTGTAAAGAAACCAAAAGGTAAGATCATCTTAAGTCATTTGGATTTGCTTTTCTCTTTCTTTCTCTGCCTTTTAGCACTTGTTGCATTTCATTTTTACTCCTCTTGAACACATTTAAAATTTTTATATTTTTTATTAAATTCTTTTAATCCTGAGATATTTTTGACTTCACAAAAATGTTAACATTTTAGCATGGAGAGCAGAAAATTATATAGAGGGCTCTAGTACAAAATAACTTTTGTCCAGTTTATCTAATAGAGGCATCATAAAATAACTTGATCAATTTTATAATGAATGGCAGTAAACAAAAGCCAAAAAAATATAATGCTTTTACTTTGAACTCAAAAAAAATATAAAGCATTTTACTTTCACTTTAAGAATTTTTTTTATTTACTTTGGTCTTTTTTTTAGTTTATTTTATTTTATTTATTTTGTTAGTGATTTTTAACAATGTTTCATCTTGGAATTCAAACAACTTTATATTAAACTATTTTAATCTCTTATGTTTGATTACTTAAGTTAAGCAGTGTTTGAGTCCAGTTAGTACTTAAATGGTGGACCACTTTGTGGAGACTGGATACATTAAGTGACTTCCTTAAATCTGAAATATGGTCCAGGTTTAAATAACCCATCAGAAAACAAATCAATCATTCCATGTTGCAATGCAATCAGTTTCTGTTTATTTGAGATATTATGGACAATAATTAATATAAAATACCGTGATTTTAGACTAAATGAAGTATGTACTGGTGTCATTGTTATAGAAATCAAATCCAATGTTTGTGAACAGAAATATAATGAAATTAATATTTTCAGTGTTTTCACCAAAACAAAATAGTGTAGTGTTTGTTTACATTTCATTTAATTTATAAAAAACAACTAAAAGAATTATGAGCTAAAAATGTCTTTTTAATTATAATTTTAATCTCTAATCAAACTTATGACTTTCCTAATAAACTGAAATACTGATAATGGCTTATCACTCTTAACATTCTTTCTTGTGTTTCTAGCAATGAAATGTATTTTACACACCTACTCTATTCTTGTTCCTATTCTGAAAGTTTTTCACGTTCAATGTTTTTCTTGCTTAAAGTTTTCATTATGAAATTATTATATAAATATTTTGTGCTTTTTTTAATTAGCTGTTTAATTGCTTCATATTTTTATGCTTTATTTCAAGTTTTGTACTGAAATTATGTATTACTCAGTTTTTTTTGTTTTTTTTTTAATCATTCCCTCTATTTTGGTTTTGTGTCCTATGAGTTGTTCAATCTTTCCAAAACTTGTTAATTTGATAAAAATGTGATGCTTACACAATTTAAATGAAATCACTTAGAGCATCTAAGAAATACAACCAGATTTCATTTTTGTAATTTTTACTATTATATTATATATCTTTATAAATATTATTACTCCCACAAGTTCTGTCCAGGTATCTACATATTTGTATGTGTGTAACTAAATAATAATAATTATTATTATGTTTTCAATCAAATATTACTCTACATAGAGATGATTTCCAAATATATGAAGTGACACACATGCAGATAAATTGCTGTTAATTTTCACTGCTGTCCATGAACAATAACAATAATACATGAACAATAATACAACTTAAGATCACTGGCATATTGTGCTTATCTTCTGATGTTTGATTTGATATCAAGTGTTTCATAAACTAATTTTGTTTCTGTTTTGTTTGAACTAATAATAATAATAATAAACCTGCAAAGCTTAAAGAGCTAATGATTCATCAGCTTTGCAGGAACCTTTACAAGAAAACATTTTGAAGTGACAAATTTTATTGCAACTTTATTATTCAAAAATTTTTCAAGCAATTTTAGATAAATGACAGTGCAATGCCAGTCCATTGAAATATACTGATGTGGTTCTGGCATCGCATAAATAATGTCCTCAGCTTTTGTCTACCTAAACCTTTGTCTGTATTTCTTTTATCACTGTATTTGAATTGACATCTGTCTGCCACTTTCTGCTCTATTTTCAGAGATTCCAGGCCAGAAGAAAAAGAAGTCCAAGAAAAAATCAAAAATGTCTACTGCCATTAATAAACCGGGTCTGCTGATTTATTCATTTATATTATCAGGTGTTGGAATCATGGGCAGGTTGATGCATGGCTACCCACCAGCAGTTTTAGTTATATTGCTATGGCTTGGAGCCTATACTTATTGGTTTGGTATGGCTAATGAGGCCCTCTAACAAACACTAGTTGCTATAAACACATTCAGACTCTACTTTTATTTCAGTCTCGGGTACAGCTACATCAATATTTAATTATTAAATATTATGGTGAACAAGAAAAAAGGATTTTATAAAGTTTTGGCTTGTCAAAAAAAATTTTTTTAATGACAAAATCAACAGCAAAATCAATGAAAAATATAACAAAGTTGACATAAGAGCTTTTTGACAGCTTTCATAATACTGTCTCGAGTTGTGCTAACAACTCTTTAACACAGTAACATATTGTAATTAAAGCCTTTATGAAAAATTTTACCTTAAATTTTCACTGTTAAAATTTAATCTACATGATTTTTTATGATTTTTTTTTTTTTTTTTAAATGATGCTGAAATAGACTAAAAATCATAATTATTTATATGTTGGTAATGTGATTATTGACCTAAATACACAGACAAAAACATCCTGTTACTTTGTAAGGAAAGAATATATTTTATTCCGTAATATTACTTTTATAATTAAATATTAATCAAAAGGATATTTCTTGCCTGATTTAAAAAAAATTATTTGGGTATTAATTCTATATAAAGAAAAAGTACAAAAAAAACTTTTATTACTGAAATAAGATTTAAAGAAAATTTTGCTTTTCTTTGGGTGGGTGTGGAGGCCAAGATAACTGAATTTGTACTTTGTTAGATTATGTTGATTTTTGTCTGTTAGAAATCAGTTATTCCTGACATTGTTAAATTGGATATTTGTTACTATTAAATTATATATATAATAAATTTTTCTTTTTAAGAAAAAAATATTGCTGGCCAAACTCTAATAATTTCAGTATAGATATTTGTGACTTATACAATATTTAAAGCAAGGAATTCCTTAACTCTGAATCCCACAATTTGATGTAGGATGGGGAATTATTTCTTTTGCTACTGCCAATCTTTATCTAAATTGAATATAAAATTGAAATTTGATTATATTTTCCCCCCCACTTTTCCCTTTATATAAAAGCATATTCCATGATTTATTGTTGACCTCGAGTGGAATCTGATAAATAATTCATTGGACTGATGTGAATTATTTAAAAATCAAGATTACAAAATTTTCAAATTTTTTTTTTTTTTTTTTGTTACTGCTTTCTCTACTGGCAAACTGAATTGAATTGTTTAAGCTTTAAATTCAAAGGATTTTCAAATTTTATTTTTTTATTTATTTTTTTTTTTTTTTTTTTTTTAAATTTCTCTATTGGCAAACTTCATAAAATGGAAGGATGCAAATCAGATCTTTTTTATTATTTGTAACTTTTTTGTTTCAATTTCAGAACTCTCTTTCATGGAGTGTTAATGTTTGAAATAATCAAATTAAGACATTTTGACATCCCACAAATTTGTAAGGTACTTTTAAGAATTTAACAATGGTGCTTTTTCTCAAGTTGTACAATCTTCCTCTCAAGTTTTTCTCTATATTGCAATATTTTGATAACATTAATAATTTATGTGCATTTAAAAAAAATATGTATGGTTCTAGTAAGTTTTTTTTCTATTAAATATTTTTGTTTAGTCATTTTGTGTTAATTATATTTTCTGGAAATAAAACACTTATTTTATTTATATATCATAAACTGATTTATTCATTCTTCACCACCCACTACTTTAAAAAAAATATTTATAGTTGTGTGTGTGTGTGTGTGTGTGTGTGTGTGTGTGTGTGTGTGTGTGTGTGTGTGTGTGTGTGTGTATGTATAATATATATATATATATATATATATTACAGGTGTGTGTGTGTATTTTTCCATCACTGCTTTTGTTCTTGTCTGATCTTTGTCAAAGTTCGATAGCCACTTGAATCAGCCAAGAAATGAAAATGTAGCTATTTTATTTATTTATAGATAATAATAAATAACATTTTCTTTGAGTGACTTTGATTTAACAAAGGAGTGAGTTTCTCTAAATAAATTTAATTCATTTCATTCGATGATTACAGAAAATAAATATAACATAATCCTCAGTCGCCTTTTACAGGATGATTTTTAAGTTTTTACAAGCCCTACATTGACCTCAATCAAGAAAGGTCTAGTTTCGTCCTAACTCGATTTCCATGTTCCTTCATTTAGACTTGGTCATAGTTGTTTGATTAATTGACTTAGTGATTTAAATAGAATTGCATGTACTCTAAAAGAATTGCCTGTCATTAAAAGAAAGGTAACTCTTCTAAAAAAAAAAAAAAAAATTATATTACTCTAATTTTCAAACTTTATAAACTTTGTTAAACTAACGGGAATCAACTGGTTTAAATTTTGTCTCAGCGTTTTCTTTATTATTTCATAATTCAATGATACACATTTTGATTTTCATTCTCTAGAACTTTCTCTTTTCTAATTTATTTCAACAAGATACATTTTCTGTAAATTGTTCAGTGAATTTTTATTTTTTTAAATACTTTATTTTTGAGTTGTATAGGAAATAAAACCTTTCTATACATATTTTTTTTAACTTTCATTTTGATAACCAATGTTTTGAAGCTGTTGCTGTGCAGCCCATCAAGAGATTAAGGCTTTGAATACAACTGAGTTCTATTTATGTCATTAAACATTTACGTTAAATGTTGTGAATGTAAATTGTGGGATGTCAAATTTTTTAATGAGATTTTTTTTTCCTCTTCAATTGTATCAATACTTGTTGATGAAATTCATCCATTCAATATATTTTTTGTTATTAGTAAAACTATTTTTTTCTTTATCTGATTTTGGTATGAAGTGGGCAGGATTGGTACTACCTTCTTAAATCTCCTATGTTTTCCTTCCTTTTTTTTTATAACAGGAAGTGGAAAACAATTTGCAAAAAACTCATTTAATCTATTTCATAGATTTGTTTCCTTAAAGAAATGTCTGTCTATCCATCTGAAGTCCACTTCACTGTTAAATGTTCTGTGCTACAACTAATATTATGATTGACAAATTTTTATGTGTGCTGCTGGTAAATTTGGATTTTTTATTTTGACATGGATGAAATAATACACAGGGGCAAGTAATTCATTGAATGTTCCCATCAGTACACCTCAGTTTTCTATATATTTTAACTTTTAAGCAAAATACATAAAAAATATAAGTAATGCTTATTAGAGAGTAAATACTGTGTTGCTATGGTTACAACTACTGACTAGAATTGTGTAGCATATCTTAGCTTTGACTTCATTTTCATATTGATTTTAACATTGAATAATCAAGTTATATTAGTTTCTTATGAGGAGTGCTAAAAAGTTATCAGATTACTCACTACTCAGAATATAACCAAACATTAGATTTTTCTTTTCAAGGGTTTCTTGTTCTGGCAAATAACTTTTCAACACCCTTATTTTATATCATCACCTTATCAAAAATGCATATTGACAGAAAGTTATACAAGTACTTTTTAATTAAGATCTGACACTAAATTTATTATTTATGTTCAAAATGCACAATAGATTGTTTAATAATACTTGTCACTATAAAGATATGAAACTTACATACACATGCTAATTAGTATGTTTACTTTTGAGGGAAAAGAAAATTTTAGTGAATCTCCCTCACTTTATCATCTTTTTAAAATGCTTCATAATTATTCTTCCACCTTTCACACACAAAGCCAACGGTAATATGGTGATACTGAAACTGATGAACATAGAATGTTCTATAGTCTGATCCATTCTTAGGTAGCTTAAACTAGAGATTTTTTGCTGGGTGGGGGTAATAGAATCAATGGCAAACCAAGTAATTGCCTTATAGCATTTTTGTTTTTTCTTTTTAAGAATTTCTGATCTTATATAACTTTAACAAATTTTTTCTCATGACAGTTTCTATAGAAATGAAAAACAAATGCTTTGCATTGAAAAGATATTCTAATTTATCTACAAGAATTTCAGTGTAGTGTTTTTTTTTTTTTTTTTTTCATTTGTCCCATCAGGATGGTACATGGTTTTGAGGGTCTTTCTGTCTGTACATTATGTATACTACAAAATTTTCATCTATCATCCTGCCATCCTTGTACCATTCTTACAAAATTTTTTCAAAAATTTGATCTGCTTTCCACCAAAATTTACTAAAAAGTTGAGTCTTTAAGGTGAGACAAAAAAAATTATTCAAGAATTAAGTCAGTATAATTTTGGAAAATGTCCTATGAACACCATCACAATTGTTCATCATAATAATAATAATTATAATAATGGTTCCACCACCACCACCACCACTGCCTTTTTTATTTTTCTAATCCAAATGATTAAGTCACTTTGCTGCCCTATTGCTTCTTTCAATATTAAAGGTGTTAGGTGACTGAGGAGAGTCAGGTAATGTATATGGCTGCTCTAAATTATCACATTTTAAAATCATGGAAAAATTTTTCACACAAAAAGTAATAGAAGCATTTTATATAATTGAAAATTAACACCCCCCACCTCCAATTTTTAAATGAATTTCCATTTAATTGTTTTCATTTTTAAATCTTTCTAAATTTTTTTTTTCTCCCTGACACCTTTCACTTTAAAAATTTTTTTCCTCTTGATCATGCATACAATTTTCCATCCCCATTAAAAATTTTCATTACTTTCTTATATCTCTTTCTATTATTTATTTTTTGTTTCTTTCTCAATTATTCATTTGGATGATGAACAGTTCTCAGCCTCACCCACTTACCAGAACCAGTATTCTGATAGTTGGTTATTGTAATGTTGATTTTGAAAGCATAAGATGGTATTTAAGATTCAACAAACTTCATCCCTATCTTTTTCATTTATCCAGAAATTTTTTTAAAAGCCCCTCTTGCACAAACCAATTCTCAATCCTTGTACATAATTATCTTAGAATATTAATCTTGTTAGATTTATCAATATGAAACCTGTATTGTATGATTTTTGTAAATATGCCACAGTTTGAACCTTTATTCAAAATAGTTGGCAATGTTTCCTTGTTTTATAACAGGAATTTTACCAAATGTGAACTATATATTCCAGGAGTAAAAGATTTTTTTTCAAATTTGGAAATTTGTAGACTTTTATTTGTGTGAATGTGTATTTATCTTGGATTCTTCACTTCAAAAAATAAAAGTTGAAAATGCATTAAAATAATTTTTGTGTTTCCATCCTTATATATATATATATATATATATATATATATAAAAAATTTATTTATTTATTGTGTTTGAGAATTATGTAAGACATGCAAAAAACTTTTATCAAGCAATCATGTATCTTTCAATACATGACTGAAAAAAAAAAATACATATTTTTCCTCCAGTAGGTTGCCATTTCTTTCTGTGGTAGACCAGTTGCCATCCAAGGCTATAGAACCTGGTCTGTCCTGCTATTTACCCATAGCTGGGGGAGAAGAAGAGGATTCATACCTTTCCCAAGGGTATTAGCACACAAGTGACGAATGTAATGGATTTGACTGGAATTTGAACTCAGCTCTCCAATTCCTCAATCAAGCCACTATCCATTTTATCCACTATCTACATGCCTCCCATATATATATATATAAATATATATATATATATATGGATATGATGGAATTTGAATATATTTATAATTTTGATATCACATTCATTTATATATTTTTTATATTTCTTAATTTTTATTTAATTCCAATATCATTTTATATATTTTTAAATAATTCCATGATTTCATTTTCTTTTTTTTCTTTTTGGCCCTTCAAATTTTTACCTTACAAAATTCTTGACTTTTGTCTTAATCCTCACTTAATATCAAGATTAAATGAAAATCAATTTGATCATTTTTCTTCCCTTTGTTAAGAAGTAATGTTGATTCTTTCCCTTCATTATTTCTCATTATGGTTTCAAGGACATCCTTCAATCTATTATGTAAGGTAGGTAGCAACCAATGGCAAACCATTTTCAAACATCTTTTGTCGGTTAATTAAAGCAATAAATTGTCTAAGGTAATTAATGGTGTAAAGAAAACTTATTTATTTTCCAATAAGATGGTCCTTCAAAAATGAATATTAATTGCAATAAATAAAAATCATTCAAATTATTTTTTTTTCTTCTCGAGTTGATATAAGGGAGACAATTCATAAAGACATTCTGTTTTTTGTATGTGCATATATTTCAATATATTGAAAGAAAAGTGGGTTGCTGTTTCCGAAAAATCGCATATTTTTCTTTTTGTGTTTTTTCCTTTTGTAGTGGGAAACTTACTGCAACAGTAGTAATTAAATAAATTCAAATCTTTTGGTACTATCAGTCAAATGAGTTGAATATTTTAAATGTAAAAAAGAAATTCATTTTTCAATTTCTTTAGTTTTAAACACCTATACATATTTTCCTGTTCAAATTATCATGGATAATGTAGCAGTTGACTTCAATTCAAAATTTGAAAAATTCATAGAAAACCAATCATTGTTGAAATATATATTAGTTTAATTTTTTTTTTTTTTTTAAGTGTAAAAGAAATCTGAGACTGCTGAGAATATTCAATAAACTGGGGAACTTCAGCTCATTTTTTTTATACATAAAAAATTATCTTCATTCATAAAATGGAAAAAAAAATATTTATACAATTTGATTGTTGCTGGCTTCTCCATTCACTGATCTAAGTTAATATTTTTGTCCCCAAAATTCATGCCTATTTTTTTCTTTTGCAGCCAATGAAACTGCTGAAGATGAAGCAAATATACCTGTTGTTACTGAGACCTCAGCTGAATCATTACCAAAAGAAGAACTGTAAACAAAAACTTAAAACTATTTTAAAATATTTTGGCATAATAAAGAATTTTTTTAAATCTTTTTTTTATTTAAATTGTGCTTAAAGGTAAAATACCCTAACTGGGTATTAAAAAAAATAAATATTCCTCTTTTATAACAATAGACATATTTAGTATGCATGTGAATATAACAACTATTATTAAGCCAAGTAATGAAAATAACACATTCTTTCTTATATTACTATCTACAAAGTATTACATGCATCAGACTAAAGTGGTGCAAAGTGCACCTAGTTTTTTTTAGTTAATTTAGATAAATGATTCATTTTTAAAAAAAGTTGATTAATGATTTTGAAATCTTAAAAAAAATAATAATAATCAAATGGGGGAAATCAATATAGCAGCCATTCCCTTTCCTGGAAGATTATTTCCAGTGTGTGTGTGTATATATATATATATATATATATATATATATATATATATATATATTATATATATATATTTATTTAAAACAAAATCTTTAAATAGAGATTAATATAATGGCCCATAAAATTTTCTAATTTTACCCAAAGGAGTCACACAGCCCACTACAGTCTGGTTAAAAAAATAGGCTGAAAATGATCACTTAGAATTAAAGATGTATATTAAAAATTGCCACTGAAAAATAAAAAATGATACCAGGAGAGCAAAGATAACCTCTTTTTACCTACAGAAATATTCTAATGGCTTGTAAACCAGTCTTTGGTAGTTAAATTCTCACTCTTACCTTCCCAAAATGGAATTATCTAAGAAACTGATTTCCTATCAAATGAAATATTGACCAAATTTTGTTTTTTAAAAACATTCTTTCTCTTAACTTTTTAAATCCATCACATCTGTCTTATGTGCTAAAGAGAATAATAATATTATTAATAATAAAAGCTGACATACTGATTGTGGGTGAATACATCACTGGTAGCATTACCAAAGAACATGCCAGGATGGACTTCTGAAACTACAACAGACCTCATCTTTGACATGATTGAGCTATATATGACAAAAAAGAAAAAACTTATTTTAACCAACATGTTTCATCCTCTGGTGGACTTTATCAAGGCAAATGTGAGGATTTTATTTTGCAACAGATATTTATAAACAAAAGTAAAAAAAATGTTTTTAAGTTTGAGACACTCCTCAAGTTAACAAGAAAGTCTATGTAAATAATGGAGGATGCTAAGTGACATAATTTAATTTTTAATAAATAAAAGTGAGTAAATGATATTGAATTATTTTTTATGCAATTAATATTTAAATTATTTTAGTATGTGATAAATATAGTTTTCTTTTAACTTACATATTGACCTTTTACAGATTTATTGTAGTTATAGCTGAAATATATATATATATGGCCAATTAAAATTATTAACCTAGACGTTTTATGAGAAAATCACTGAGACAAATAATGTTAAAATTTTAATATACATTATTTCCATTTGATCAAATGCAAGTCTTGTAAAAATCTAAATTTTTTTTATATCATTAACATTGTAGTAATATTGCAAAACTCAGTACCCATTTGAAATTATTTTTTTCAGCTTTTTTAAACTGATTCATGTGAAAACAAAAAACTTGAAAAAGTTCATATAAATAGCTTTGTCATGTTATAAAATTCTGTCAACTGAAAGAACACCAAGGTGGCTGGCTATCAGTTAGGGGTATATTTGAGGTTAGTGTGGGGATGGTCAAAAGAAGACGAGGAGAATCTGGATTACCTTTTTAAAAGCTACTAGAAATTGATTAAATGCAGATGCAATTGTGTAAAGAAGCTTTTGTCTGATGGTTAATACCCTATTATACACATTTCCATATCAAGTGCAGTATCAAAAAAAAAAAAAAATGAAAATATGCCACTATAATCAACATTGTGACTTTATATAACAATATCTTGGTATATATCACATATTCTGAAGACTCCAACTTGATTTGAGACATTGACTTTGCAAACACATATCTAAACTGCTAATTTGAACGTAAAGCTGATTTTACTTAAGAAAAATATCTTATCTCGGTCTATATTTCTTTTTTATGATGATTATATTACACTATTTTACAATATTTGGACTATTTTATTCTTTTTGTCGCCATATTTATTCAATGTAAATTTCAATCCACTGCCTTAACCAGGACACATTATGTAGTGGATAAAGGTGTTAGATCCAGTGACAGGAACCAAAATAGTGATATTAGTTTAATACCTGGTTAAGGTGGTGGAGAACTTGGAGAGGAATTAACAAGATAACTTTTAATCCAATTAGACATGGCACGTAGAACTAGAAGTGTCTCTCCCAATTTATAAATAAAAATAAAAGGTTCATTTTCATATTCCAACCATCTGAAGAAGGCCGGATTTTACAATGTAAAAAAAAAATTTTGTTATAAAATATTAAGTTTTAAAAAAAATATAATAATATCAAATCCATTGTGTGATATTAAAGAAAACTGTTAATTTGGATTCCAGATTTACTCATACAATATTTTTACATTTCAATATTACTATGGTTGAGAATGTATTTTATTTTCTGGACTAAGTTAAATGGTTTAAAAATATATTGACATTTGTGTATTCGTATTAAAATTGCATTTACTTAGGTATGTCAGCACCTACCTTACTAGGGCCTCAGCTTAATGAATAGTTTTTGTTTTTGTTTTACCAATACTTCACCCAATAAAAGGGCCACTGAATGAGATAGTAAGGGAGAGGAAAGAGTATTATGAAGAAAAGTAGGATAGATAACGGTTGTCCCCAAAACCAAGATTGTAATTTGTCAGGGAAGTATTCTCTTGGTAGTTTGTTCCACAACATGGTATGGCAGGTACTAATGGTGAAGGTCTCAGCTGGTGGAACTTAGGAATGTAACTTGTCTGAGCATCAGCCACAGAAAGAGTGATATAGTAGTGAAAGGCTTTTTGTTTTTAATCATTTCATCCCCAAGCAAAGCAATAAAACCATTAATATGCAAGGGGTTACTGAGTGTTAGAGAATATGAGAGAAAATAAAAACACTATCAAGTCTTGAACAATAAAAGAACGAGAATTAAGATGATAACAACTGACATTGAAATTAATTTTTTGAAGATCAAAGTTGACCAGAAAGCAAATAACTAGAAGAGTTCTACAAATGAGATGTACAAAAGAAAAAACTGTTAACATAGAACTTAATTGGTCACATCTATAGTCATTTCAATTGGAAAATGATGTGACCTTGCCACCAATCTAATACTGTACTTAAATTCATTAAATCTACGCACCACACAGAAAAGTTCATCAGAACAATTACCATGAAAATATTTATAGAAAAGATACAGGGAAGTAAGGTTGTAGCAGTGGGAAAATGACTGAAGAGATGCCAGGTTAGAACTGATAACATTGCAGATTTTTAAAATTTTATCCAGAATCCCTTAAATACATAGCAGAAACACCAGATCAGATGTAGCAGTAACATTCAATGGATAGGCAAATGGTAGGCTTATAAATATGTAAGATAGATTCTGATGAGAAAAATTGTCTGGCACGACACAGTGAATCAACTTTCCTAGCAGAAGACCTAGCAATTGATTCAATATAATCTTTCTACTTCATGTCAGTAGAAAACATTAGGCCAAGAAGGTGCAATGAGCCATTCTCCTGGCAGTTAGCATCAGCTATACTGATGAAAAGTAAAAAGGGTTCTCTCAGTTCAGTTTAATTTTGGAGGCATTAAAATTAACAGGCCATTCCTTGTCCCTGTTAACAATGGTTTGTAGGTTATTTTTTTAGATTGGCTGCCAACATAGGCCCAAGAATAAAGCTCTGGGGGACACATGCATTAATGTAATAAAGATGAAAAGGTTGGCAACGTTTCATGTGTTCTATAGTTGAAGAATAATTCATCACCCATTTTTTGCATAAATTTTAGAAAGACTTTTGTTGAGGCTGGACAGTGAAGAAAACAATAACCACATCTATATATTTTTTATTCTTAACTCATTCTTGATCTGATTTATTATCAAAATAGAACATAACAGGAGGAGTTGGCTATTTTCTGAAGAGGTATATACAATGAACCAACCCTTCTTCCAGCATCTTTTTCTTTGGCAAAAATACACACACCCCGTTTAATCTGCAGGGAAAATGAAACCTATTATAGACAGGTCTTTTTTTAATTAGCCTATTCCTATTTGATGGTATCAACACTCATCAGGATTGGTGCAGGTTTAAGGTCTGCTCAGTGGTGATGGAATATTACAAGAGTTTAGTTTTGGATGTATTGAATGATATCAGCCAGTCTTCTCTGTTGACCTGTGAGAGAGTTATGGTCAAAGGAGAGATCTTCTGCCAAGCATCAAGATATTTGAAGGTGCACCCATACACTGTAGTATCATCTGCATATATACATTTACTAAGAATCTGGGCATATTCTTGGGCAGATTGTCAATAAAAAGTATCTTCCTGTTATAAAATGTTAAATACTGTATTAAAATCTTAGTTATTAACTTTAGTCCCATTACAAAAAAGCATTGACCAATTCTTGGCCCAATCCACTTCCCAAAATCTGTCCAAATATCAGAATTTATTTTGGAATATTCCTTGGTATGGCTGAGAATTTTACAGATGATGAAATGTTTAATGTGTTTATGATGAAAGTAAAGTCTTATATGGGTAGCATAATCTTCATTGGCAAAGAAAAAGGAATTGTTGAGTCAAGTTAAAATTATAGCAGAGTTTGTTGCATTCGTTTTGCACTAATGCCCTTGGGTAAGGTAAGAATCCATCTCATCTATTCCTAATTCAGCAGAGCTCTCTAACCTTGGGTGGCAGAACAACTCTGAAATCAAAACTATAGAGAAAGCAACAGGTTTCTGAATTTGACTTTTTGCAGAGCCACAAAATAAACATCCTTCTTTTGTTGAATACATGTTTAATTTTATGCTGTGAATAAAATGGGTTCAACTTCTATCACTTGCATTGACTTTTTTGTTTTATATTCCAAAAGCATTACATCTGC